ACTATCCAACATCACTCAACTCGTGAGGTTTCAGTATGTAGCTATCCCGACTAATATCTTTTATGTGTCTGGCAAACTCAAAAACTAATCCATCTGTGAGGTTTCAATATGCAGCTATCCCCACTCAGCGCGTCTATGTGTCTGGCAAAAACCAATGCATCTGTGAGGTTTCAGTATGTAGCTATCCTCACTCAACACGTTTAGGTGTCTCGCAATCTCCAAAACAAATAATCTGCGAGGTTCAATATGTGTCTATCCTCATTCAACGCGTCTATGTGTCCGGCACTCCAACATCACTCAACCCGTGGGGTTCCAGCAGCTATCCCCACGCAACCCGTCTATGTGTCAGGCAATCTCAAACCTCCCCTTTCCGTGGGGTTTCAGTATACAGCTATAATCACTCAACACGTCTATGTGTCCGGCAATCTCCTACACCACTCAACCTGTGAGGTTTCCGTAAGCAATCCTCACTCCACGCATCCATGCGTCACTCGTCTTTGGTAGCGCATACTATGGGGGCTATATTTGGGGTGGCGTGTTTTACAGCGCTTTGCCAACAGCGCCAACCCACTTGTTGGGGGGGGGGCGACTTGTTTGACAACGTCGTTGCCAAGCGACGAAAACCCAACCCCGATGGCAAACACCGAGTGTTGGGGTCAGGCAAAATCAACGGCATTTGCCTGAGGGCCGATTCCTTGCCTGAGATGCCTGATATTTGTCCTGGGCTTTTGCCTCAAAACGAAACCTATTCTAATTTCAAGTAACATTTTTCCAAGAGTAGAGACGACTCATACGGGGGTTATCATCGTGGCTCCTCTCCGTGTGTAGCCTAGAGCTACCTGGGGTTACGTAGGAGCTTCTAGGCAAAAAACAACGCCTCAGGCAAACATCTCATGGAGACACCGTCTCAGGCAACAAGTCATGCATGCCTGATGGGTCAGGGCTTGCTACAGTATTTTCTGATTTTCCAAGAACCTCATCGTCAAACCACTCTTCACAAGAACACAGTCTCGCCTACAGCCTCAAAAAGCCTGCACCCACCATTCGCATTTGTCGCCCCGTTCTTGCTATGCGACCGTCGGATCGCAGGCTCCCATCGTTCTTCACGCTTGGCGGTGAAAAAAAAACACTTCAGAAGATGTGGAGTGCTTCAATAGGGCCGGTGACGGTCACCATCGGGACCATCTGCATCGCAGCTGTCGCGATTATGTTCTTCTGCTGTTTGTGCTGCCTCCTCAGCCCGACGTACAGGAGTGTGAGGGCAGGGAAATCGGTTCCTTACGGCGGGCAGAAGTTCGACCCGACCGCAGAGGGGACCATCTGGCCAAGCAAGCGAGGACAAAGGCCGAAAATCGATATCCCTTCTGCTGTGTGACAGCTATCTCTCTTTGAAGCAGTCTTTGTGCGTGCCTCCGTGTCAGCTTGGATTTTCTCTCAAAGAGAGATTTTACAACATCTCTACGGTAGTGGATATTGCGCTGCAGGGCAGGACGGATCGCGTGTTTCGTTTTTAGAGAGTAACGTAATCATGTGTTTCTTGTTGTGCGGTGGTCGTGGTGCATGCCGTACTGCTAAATACGTGCACCCATGTAATCCTTATATTTCGTATTGTAGTACTCTAGCTCATCGGTCCGAGAAGGCACCGATGCAAGAAGTTCTGTGTTTGTATTTTATGTTTGCCAAGAAACATGAACAAGTTTTACTGAGCACCGCCGCGTGACCAGTTGTTCGATGTTGTAGGTGTTCTGAGTTGCCGTAGTGCACGTAAACCCCGACTTTTGAAATCCGGACAAGTATTGCCGAAGTTTGTTTAGTGTGTGCTCGTCGATTGTCCAGGGTTCATTCAAACGTTGGGACAAAACAGTAGTTGATCGTGTTGCACAGAGTTGTGGTTGAACGCACATATTGTGTTGAGCGAAACGGCCTTATTTTTTATTGGTAAGTAACGGTAGAGGACTCAGCGTTTGGTTGCATTCACGTGCGGCCAGACTTGGGCATGTCTTGGCTTTACCGCCTGGTGATTAGCCGGTAGATATCCCTGTTGCTGCGTTCGGGTACCCTTTCCCATTTGGACTACAGTAGACTAGATGTGTCCTGGTGGGTTCTGTAAAAGCGATGGCACGCTGACTCTTGATGGATTTTGTGTAGCGTATATACGTGGCCATCGCTGTAGCTCCAACGGCAATATGCGTATTGTCTTGTGTTGGGTTCCTTGTCGTGCGGTCTTTTTATTTCCCCAAGCAGGGCCCAGCGCGGGTGGTTTCTGTTGTTTGTGTTGGCCCACTTTGGCGACCGATGTGTCTCTATGTGTGCTCCGTTGACTACTTGTTCTCTGTGTTGCCTCAATCACAAGCTTCGACCGCTGTGCGTGTGGGCTAGAACCGCCGAGAATGCGTTGTTGGGGAGGTGGGCAAGTCGTACCGTGCCTCGGATGTCGTTGAGACAAAAGCATGGCCTGAGGGGCTGACTTGCCTCAGCCCAATGACGCCTGAACAAACTTGGTTGCTATGTTGCACCCCATCGTTTCGGTCTGACTCGTGGACTCCACGGACCAACCACGGGCAACATGAGGGGGGCCACAGGCTCTCCAAGTGTTTACAAGGCCAACCCCACTGTGGTCCATCCACACATATTTTGCACCGCCGAGGTTGCCAGCATCGGACGTGCAATGCCGGTAGCACACGGGCACCGACGTAGCGATAGGCGGCAGTTCCCACTGTGTGTTTCACGTGTTGTTTTGCGGAGGGTACAGACACTGCGTTGCAGTTCCATTCTCTCGGAAAGGGCAGAGCGTGAATACTTCAGAATCAACCCTGCAAAGCACGCTTCCCCGACGAACGATTTTCATGTGTTCGCTCTTCTCTGTGCAAGGACAACCTCTGCGGCTATCCAGCCCCCACGTGCCAGATCGTACCAGCTCCCTTCAATAGGAACGTTTTCAACCATGCCATCACATACACACTGTACGTCGACTCTCTCGTATCCTGGACTATCGCAAATAGTCTTAACACGTTATTCTTGGGCACGCAAGCGCCACACGCAAGCGCCACATATCGGCCTACACCTCTGTGTGCGCCTTCTTCACACATATCATCGGCTTGGTAGCCTCCGTGAAACTGGTCTTGCGCTTGTGAAGAGACAAAGTAGATGATCTGTACCACGCACCTACCAAGCCGATGTGCAAGAAGTTCTCGAAAAATTGAAACCAGAGACATCGTTCGGCAGCAACCGACATGCAAGACGTTCTCGAAAAATTGAAACCAGAGAAATCATTCGGCAGTAATTCCATCCTATGGCGTGCATACCACCACGATCTCAGAAAGACTACTATACGCTGGCATGCTTTGTACGACTATCCGTAGTCTATACCGCGAGCATTTTTCGTACGTGATCACATCGGCACGTGCAGAAAAGGGTGAGTACAACGAGAGAGGGAGGCACGGAGGGCTCAAGTTTGCTTCCCCAACGGATGCAGTTTACCGTTCATACGTCATATTCCCCACCATAATTCGAGCCAACTCCAACGCCTGCTTGGCGGGGAAATCCACCCACGACGTGCTCGGCGACTCCGTCCCCGCTCTGTAGGGACGCGGGGGGTAATTGTCCGAAGAAGCCAGCCGTTGGCCGCATGGCCAATCGTCAGAATAGCGGGCCTGTCAGTCGACATCGTTTCGCCCAAGCGTGTCGCTGAAGAGTTGGCCAATGCGCGACACTCGCGCTTGCAGAACCCGACAACAAGGCTCGCCGTCCGCGCATCTCTCGAAAGCTGATCTTTGTCCGTCGAAACGCCCGCAACGGGCTTCGGGGTGCTCATCACCATTAACAAATGGTGCTTTTGGTAATAAATAAATGGGTCTTCGTCCCCAGGTTCAGAGCCGTCGCATCATCTCTGAGAACTCGTCGAAGCTAATCTGCCCATCGTGATCCATGTCGATGTCTTCAAGCATTGTCCGTGCGCAGTCCTCGGATCCCAACGCCTGTTGCCGTAGGAATGGTATGTTGACGGTAAGGATGACACATCTGCGGAATGGATATTCATATCGTTGAACATCCCCTTTGACCCAGGAGGTAATGAAGGCGACACATACTCATCGGGGTGGTGGCCACTCTCTCGTTCATTAGTTGACACTTTGTACACTTGGAGGTCGTTTTGTGGCACAAGTCCTGGCAACCCATGTTTTAATACGTCAGACGTGTGTTGACACGGTTTTTCACAGTACAGCCGATTTTTCCTGATGCGCACCACAAGGCTGGTCAACATCGAGACCGCACTCTCGACGCGTGAGATGCAAGAGCCTCAGCACTCTAGACGTGCTTCCGCTGTCGGGATACGCTCTCAGTAGGCAGACAACATGAAACAAGCAAACGACAGAACATCCTCCGAAAGAAGTGCACATTTGAAGGACGGCATTAGATGAGTCCTACAAGCACAGAGATAACACCATAGCATACTATCCACATACCTTCGGTAGTTCCTTCGGGGGTACTGCAAACAGGGAGGGGTAGTTTGCCCAGTGATGCATGAGCATGCTATCGGGTCTAGCATGACGAATAGGCCAAACATGAACCTCCTAAAGTGGCAAAACGAATGGCCTATCTAGCCCAATATCATGATGCTTCGTTTCAGACACCAGGAATTCTACGAGTAGCGGCAGGAGAGTCAACTTTGATCGTGAACAAGTCAACTATTTGAAGCGGTGGCATGGCGCAAGATCGATACGGAGTTGGATATCTCACCTCCATCAGGTCCGATTTGTTGATGCTTCCCGTCCCCTGTAAATCGAAATGTTCGAACGCCTTTCTCAAGTTTTCTCGACGAAGAAAAATCCCCTGGGAGCACCAGCACAGTACAGTTCGATGTCGCCTTCGGTTTAATCGAGCGTGCCGCTAGACATCCCGGCCGTGCCTTGCTACAGGCATTGTTACAGGCATTGTGTGCAGTGACGGAAGCTTGGTGTGGAACGCTTGTTGTGCACGGTTTTCCGCAAGGGCGGGGGTAGAAACTCCTTGCAATAGTGCTTCAGAGACGCAACATCCAGGCTTAGAAATTTAAGTGTCGGTAGAGGAGGATTGGCCGGACTGACCCCCTCCCTCTACCGCATGCAAGCGTTGGCTGGAAGCGCGAACTCACGTAAGGCAGTGCGCAGGGACGGATGAAAGCTAAGAACAAAGAAATATCAACATCGCGTCGTTTGTTGTGGGTGGATCTGCTGAAGGTTTCCAAGCTCTCGATGCTGCATCTTGTACCAGGCGTAGTCTGGATCATGAGGACCAGACAAGAACAGGTTTCTTTCTCGTCATGTGATTGGGTGTGCTTCGTCGTAACATCAACCTACCGTTTTGTGCGTTTTCGACAACACCGGAGCCGCTTGTGAAGTGGCTGTATCTATGTTCTACTTATCACACTCACTATGTACTCGTACTGTACAACAACACAATCAATCGCTCCAACCACAGCTCCTACCGCCGGTGCTTCGCTCACTACTCCAACTACGCCGGCGTACCTTTTCCATCGTGGCAGCAAGGAAATTTCGGTAGTCTATTTTCTGGTCCATGGAGTTGAGCAACTCCAGCACCTCGGCCTGCATCCCCACCATTCCTTCTGAAGCAATCACCTGTTGATGAGATCATCACAGGAGGCGAGGGAAACGGAGAGAGGAGGGGCGGGGAGGATATTTTAAGTCATCACAAACACAAGCAATAAATGTTCCAGAGAACACGACTGTAGGAATTGTGGCGAAGTTGGGAGTGCCGCGGCCGATGGGTGGTATCGTTACTTCTGGCCCCATTGGAACGGCGAAGAAATGATCACGCGTCTGTGCGGGTTTTTTGAAAAGTGGTACATGTTTCGAAGAGCTGAAGCGACGGTCACCTGGAAGTAACTCCTCAATTTCGTCATAGATGCGATTTCTCGGAGATGCTGAATAGGACTCCGGCAGGATTTCTCTATACAACGAAGTTAACAGCTGCAACAACTATGCGACGACGACCACAACAACAATCATAACAACCAAACAACAACCGCAACAGCAATATGAGGGAAAAAGCAAAAGCAACGACACCGGTTGCTACGACGACCGCAAGCACTGCCACCACACTACCAAACAACATCAAGAACAACAAGGCCTCCTAACTGACACCGGTGTATGATCTTATAAAGAGCGCCAAGTGGAGTCCGTCTACTCGAGCCGATGAGAGGCACCTTCCAAGAAGTCCTTGCCAAAATCTCTACTCGAAGGAAACGCACGTGACGATAAACGAACCATGTCCGATCGGAGGGGCTCACTCAGGCGTGACGTAAGGATGATGAATAGTTGAGACAAAAAAAAAATATTTTAATAGGAAATAGCATCACCTGCTGGAGCTCGTCCACCGTGATTTCTCCATCCCCGTTCAAATCCAAAGAGTTGAAAACCTTACGAAGGTGACCCTCATCCGCGTCCCCAACATCCTGCCGCAGACAAGCAGCAGGTATGTGCAGACGGTGTTCGTGTGAAAGGTATCTGACTAGCAGTATCCATAGCAGCATCTTCGTGCAGATCGTGTTGGTGTTAAGGTTTCTGTCCAGCCCATAGCACTGAATAGCGCAATACACCTTCGGCGAAAACATGAGTAAAACTAGACGAATAAGAAAAGGTTTTGCGGCCTCAACTTGTGGCCAAAGCAGAGCCATACACCATCGATGCGCAGTACAAGACTAGTCATGGTAGCGTTTCCCACGGTTTGATTGATGGGTACTCCTACCAATCTTACCTCTGCGATGACGTTGAGGGCGATCTTCTTGAGGGCATTGGCGCCGGCAAACCTTCGAAGCCGGTGGTTCAATCGCAATGCGCTATCCCGCAGCGTTTGAGCCGCCGCATCGCCGCTCATCACCTGAAGAACCGCAAAGAAACGACCTGCGCTTGACATGAAACGAGAGTACTAGCCGCAAAAACTCGGAAAAAATGAATCGCGGCCTTAGGAAGACCCAAAAACCATGAAAACATGGTCAGGCAGGAAAGGCAGAATCTAAGCTACTGGAAGCTGAGAAACCATCGACACCATGCCTTTATGACTATGAAGAGGCGGTGATGGTAAGATACTCCTTCAATTTTCAAGAACCGTCACACACGTCACCCTGCCCAGACCAAGCACGAGAGGCAATACACTAGACACAGAACACGGCGCCTGCAGAGCTGCCTCGTCACCGTCTTCGCGCGGTAAAACAGAGTCGCACCGCATGCCTTCTCTGGTCACCTTGTCGAACCACGGGTGGACGAGCGCCTGACTTGCGGTCAGACGTGCCGTAGGGTCCTTGACGAGCAGTTTCCTGATGAGGTCCCTGAAAGGAGACACACGGTACGGTTGATCGGTCACACAAGCGCAGGGAACGCGGTCCGTGGTTTCGACATCCACAAGCACACTTAGTATCTGGCTACTGCTGCAGCAAACGTGTAAGAATGTTCGTCACAGAACCCTTTAGTCGGAGACGTCGTCTGATACTTCGTCGGAGACTGAGATTTCCCCGGATATTTCGCCGGAGATTTCATCGGAGGTTTCGTCGGAGATCTCGTCGGAGATTTCGTCGACGAGCTTATCGGAGACTTCGTAGAAATCGTCCGAGAATCATCGGAAGATGAGATTTCGTCGGAGACTGCGTTGGACACTTTGTCGGACACTTTTTCGGGTCGCCACGTCCATTTTCGAGAGAGATCCGGTGCGTCGGACGATGCTCATTGTCTTGTGCTCTTCCCGCCCCCGGCTAAGGCCCTATTCGCCGCTTTCCGATACCACAGATGAGACCAGCACCGTTTCCGCGATAACGCATGCCTTCGAAGCAGCACATGAAGGTTGCGTCTAAATCCTCGAATTCGACTCTCGGTCCATGATATGTTGAGCTCCTCCTAACGCTAGAAAAGGCGGAAATCCGACAGACGATTTTGGTTCTACTCTAACACCCTCATCGTCGCATGGTAGGACGGAATAACCCTTCTCACTTGGCCTCGTCGGACACACTATCCCACTCGGGGCTGAGGAAGCGGTAGTCGACACGCTGCACTGCTTTCAAGATCTCGGCGTCGTTGGCGCCAGAGAAGGGTGGGTAACCGCACAGGAGGATGAACATGATCACCCCGATGGACCACAGGTCGCAGGCCTTGTCGTACTTCTTGGACAGAACTACGGCGCCAAAAATAAAACAAAAATAGGCGAAAACTTAGCATTGCACAAAGTCATGGTAGTGGTAGGGCTTCGCGACCCACCGCTGCAAGCTGCATGGGTGCACTCGCCGCCCCGGCCACACGCAGGAAGCATGCAAGACAAAGGGAAGCCAAGCGCGCTACATGCTACCGAGCAAAAAGTGAGTGACACACCAAACGGGTGGTACATAATCGTGTCAAAAGTTGGGTCAAACAACTCGATGGTCAACAGAGACCAGCGTGCGGCAGACGCGTACTGGCAAATACGTGGAAGAAACTCGCGGCGCAGTGTGCACGGTCGGACTCTGCTCCCGACCACGCCGTAAAAAAGGTAAGCTAAAAAGGGCATGTTGTGGGCTGGTCGTTGTGTGCGTACAGTCGCAGGCTTTTTTCTGCCACAGCTACAACGTCAAGGGAGACAAACATGTAAAAAATTACTTGCCACAGCTACAACGTCAAAGGAGACAAACGTGTAACACTACTTGATAGTTTCTGCTGCCGTCCGATTCTTTCGTGAGGCAACGAGATGACCGTCCAGACACCCAATGGAAAAGATAGATCTAACGTTTTCAGTGGGGCTTGGGGGCTAGATCAGGATCATATTGGCGTCACGGGCTTATGCACGCGTGCGCACATCCGGATATATTCATGCGTTGGTGCTCTGCGAATTTCGGACCGTTGAAATCTATGTCACCTCTGCTAGGTAGTTGTGCGACTTATGGTGCTGAAAGAAAGTCGACCACCATGAGACGGCCACAACAGGGAAAGGCGCGGCTACTAGCTGGCAGGTTGAACACAAGGCACAGCAGCTTCGAATGCATATGTGCGTTCGCTGTGTACAGTGTGATGTGGGCAGTATTGCATGGGATTCGTTCGAACTTAGCCTAGGGCACGAGCTTCGAGCTTTACTTCGGGAGTTCTGGCTAACTGACCTTCGGGCGCGATGTAGTACGGCGTCCCAACCCTGGTTGTCATCGCCTCGGACCCGTCCTCAAACCTGGACAAACCGAAGTCGATAATCTTCAGGTCGGCCTATTCAGTACAGCACGATGCGGTTCCACAAGCACGGTTTGGGTGGTTAAAGGCATGTTCGGGGCAGCTGTTTGAATCGAGCATCTATGCCCGTTCGAGAGGATTGGTGCACGCCATTGAAATGTGCCTAATTTCCAAAACACGCATGACATTTCATGCAGCAGTAGTGACGCGATGATACTGTAACAATGGCACAGAGTTACGGTGCCTGAGGCACTGTCACTTGAAATTCGTCGCAACCGCCAAGTAGCCACAGCAGTGTCGACAAAACGGTGTGTCTCGGTCAGTCTGATGTAGTGCACCAAGCGCACCGGCCTAGCATGAGGTCGTCTGGAGGACGTCAAGCCTCCCATAGTGACAGGGTAGTGTAGCCGGTAGCTGGGGGGGGGGAGGGGGATCGGGTCATGCTCAAATTTCGATCGTGTCCGAGGCATTCCACTTGCACTGTACGTGCGACAATCAACAGTGACATCGATGTGAACACCTGTAGAAATTTGAAGAGGGAAGCGAAAACGTAGTGCAAGCCATCCAGGGATGAACACTCTTTAGCTTGCTATGGATCCCTTTACCCCCCCGGCAAGGGACTGCTTGGTAACGTATCATTTTGACAGAGGCAAAAGGGTGTCACACTTAGTCACTGAGTAGAATGAAAACACATGCGAACCTGGTCGTCCTTCGTCTTGAACAGGAAGTTCTCTGGCTTGAGATCTCGATGACATATGTTGTGCTCGTTGTGGCAATACTCGATCGCCCTGTGGCGCCACCCAAAACGCACGGTAGCACGCAACAAGCGCCATCGGGCGTCTTCGTTCAGGTACCAACGCTTGACCAATGAGGCAATGAAAGTGGAACAGCTGCGCAATGCTCATGAGCTTCCACAGGTACTCCCTCTCAAGCACAACGGCTTGTGGGCAACACACCCTACCTAACCCGGCAAGCACAACGGGAGGGGCTCTCTGTGAGATTAGGTGTTTTCGCCTTAGAAGAATGTCCGAATACGGACATCACCCAGAAGGCCGTGTCAGAATAGATAGACAAAGGTAGCGCCATAGCAGACGAAGAGAGTACCTCAAGGCGATGCCTAGGGGATCAACTCCCAGTCGGGAACACCATATTGTAGGAAACAAGGCGGTTAACGGTATATATTCCCTGCATTTGCTCAAAGTCTCTCGTTCATACCCAATGATCTTGTGGACGATGTTGGCAGCATCCCGTTCGCTGTAGTGGCCCTCCTTCGACTCCGTCTTCAGAATTATCCGATCGAACAGTTCCCCCCCCGTGCACAGTTCAGTCACCTGGGAAAAAACGACCACCACACGAGAGTTCCTCAATCGAGCCGCCCTTGGCTTTTCAGGAGCATGAGTTGATCATGAATTGGTAGCCTGCTCGATACTTGAGAAAGGTAACTCGCGCGCTGTCGTATGAAGCTGTAGCTGGACCCTGCCTACGGAGTAGAATGAAAACCCCATAATCTGTAGACGGCTATATACCTGCCAGCGTGAAACCCGCCGTGATGAACGGTTGTCGCCAGTTATGGAAAAGGCAATTTGTTCTGAACCAAACTCTTGCTTGATTACTCGTGAGATTCGAGCCCGGTATCACGTTATGTCTCTGAAAGCTAAACGTTGCTACCTCTCGACACTCCTCGCGCCGTTCTCGTAGCCACATATACTTCAAACTTTCCGGCATGGAAATGCACGTTTATTCTTGTTCACCCTTGTCTCCAACAAGTAAAGTTCCAACTAGTATAGTTGCATCGGTGTGCTACTCTGCACCATCAAAAGGTGCGGCTGCAAACATTTCGCCGTTCAGCCTACAGTCAAGTCCTCTTTTTTTTTTCTCACTAGATGTAAATTGATGTCGTCTTCGTAGACATCCTCGAGCCGAATCAAAGTAGGGTGGTCCACCGCCCGGAGGATTTCGATCTCTCTCTTCAGCAGAACCAATCGAGGCACCTGCGCATGAAGGCGAATCGGAATTGTTGTGTCACCGCGCTTCTTAGCGTCGAAGCGCTGTGGCTATGCGTGGTACAGCGCAGTTGGTTTCTATACTGCAGCGCAGCGTTTGAGGTATGATCTGGCTACGGTGCTACATACATGTCCATCTCGACTGCTGTTACGTATTTCAGCGGTAGAAGGGGGGAGGACACCAGGGATAATAAAGGGCTTACGTCTGCTTCTTCGAATCAAACAATCAGTCGGTACAACCAACCCGTCGACGGTGCTGGCTGCCGCGGTATACTACATATGTGTTACTTGAACGTCAGCAATCCCCTCGGTAGTCATGATGCTGCGGCGCAGCATCTCACCTGCCGAGAAAGGGATAACAATCTCTTCGGCAGGCGACTCGGCACTGGAACCACGTTTCAGTATTTCCGTCAGCGTTGGGTGTGACCGTGTGCTCGAGGAATTATGGAATGATGGACGAGGCCTACATACTGCTGGTAGGAGATCTCTCCTGCTGCTGAAGGTCGGGTTCAACGCGAGCGGATACGCTCATCCTACAGTGTGCTTTGTCAATGACTCGCGCCAGAATAATATTTCACGACAGAGAAGCACCAACCCTGCATATATCCCACCTTGCTCTTCTTGATGGTTTTGATGGCGAACTCTTCTCCCGTAGCTGCTCACGCGTTTGAACGAACCGTTGATCACCGTAGCGAAACAAGCAAAAGGAAGAGAAACGATCAAATACCGGGGGGGGCAGAGGGGACAAGAATAGGTTTCGCCGTAGCTGTGCTTTTCCGCGACGTTGCCGTTGTCATACATGCACTGCCCACAACCGCCCATTGTTCGAAGCCGAAACAGTGCCTCTTACAACGGACATGTGCATCGCAATGATGTTTGCCACGCAGCTGGTCGCCACAACGGCTCAAACAATGAAATATGACTCGTCAGCATCTACCCTAGACGTTAACTATACGAGGTACCTGCTTCAGGTTGTTGGCCAGACGGCGATTCGTGCTTCGAACTTTCTTCAGCCCAGTGTTGTTAGTATGATCTTCGAGTTACAACTGTGGCAGAGGCAAGCTCCAGCACAAGTCCTGCATACAGCAGACTCTTGTGTCATGTATTTATTCAAGTTGATTGCAGTATATGGCATGGTCTGTTGGGTGCTGTTATCGGCAGCCTCCCACAATAGCGCTTCCATCCCTCTCTTCGCTAGTCTCTCGCTGTACCTCGGCTAGTACAGGTTCGTACGACTCCATAGTGCCCGCTCCCAATCTCCTTGTCTCCGATCACGTATTTGCTGTTGACGTCCATAAGCTCCTTCGACGGGTATGAAAAGATATGCCGATTGAAGAGACGATCATTAATTGCGATTCCCGACACTGACGTAGGAAATGTCGTTTGACCATGCGTACAACGCAACCCCTAGCGTCCATCATTTTCGCAGAGCTTGTGTTGTATACAGCCAGATACCTCTTGGCGACACCAGGTGGCCTTGGTGACAGTAGGTGGAGTCTTTTGGTTGTTTTCGTACCTTGATAACGCCATTGCGAAGCCCAGAGAGCACGCGCGTAGGCATCGCCGAGAATTGACACCAAGACGATAAAAGTAAGCAGGGTACCAATATCTGTACAACAACTGCAGACTCCCCACTCCCCACTCCTCACTCCTGCCCTCCCTTGGTCTCGCTGCCAGCAAATGCGGTTGCCGGGTCGAGCTCTCGACGAAAACAGGCCTCTGATGCCGCGTTAACTTGGGCAAGCCAACACGCGGCAAAAGAGGTGGTACGCCATATGCCACACTGCTGCTCCATGATGACATGGTACGGTCAGTTGGTCCGACCGTTGCGAATAGACGCTCTGAAACGTGACGTAGTTCGGAAGTTGGACAAGCTTTGTCAGGTACTTCTTTAGCCGGCTTACCTCGGTGGCCATCGTCATGGTGGAGAGGTATCCGTCGGGAGGAAGTGGAAACTTGCTTTCGAGCGGATCGTCAATGCGAGCGAGCGAGAGTTGATGAAGGAAGAGAGCGGAGAGGCGGTAGGATCTCCCAAATTCGAATATTCCCCGAATGGTAACATACTACATACGGAACCGGAGCGATGTCCAAGGGCTGGCTGGGTGGAATGGCTGCATTGCTGAGTAGGGCCACACACGTGCGATGATCACTGTGTGGAGCCAAGCATCCGGTTGGCAATCATTCCTGGTATCGAGCCTCATCCTTCCCTCGACACCATTCGTTAACCATGCCCACGAACTTCCTAGCAGGAGCAGCAGCAGGAGCTGTGCGAGGAACAGACGTCGCCCGTCGCCCACAACCGCAACACGACGCCCGTTGCCATCCCTTGCTACTGCTGATGCCGACGTAAATAGAGCCGGTCAGCAGTCGGCGATGGATGACCTTTGGTGGGAGGAGGGGGGTGCGGTGCAGTCGCTGGAGATCGCTTGCAGGTTGGTGTCGTATGTTCAAGAGTGGAAAAATGTTGAACAATCGACTGCTGCACGAGGGCGGATGTCTTGACAAAATGTGTGTGGCGCTACATACATGTAGACTGTAGGCGGGAATATCTTTTTCAAGAGCTTGCGGCGTGCAACAAAGGGGGGGGGGTACCTTATCCGTACCACCCTGGATTCAACGCACTGCTGTGTTATATGGATGAGTAGTGTAGGTGTGACGTAAGATACCATACCCCCTTCTTCTGATTTTCAAAGCCTGAGTGCCGGTGCCGAAAAAAGCTGCGTAGGAATCGTCGCGTCGAGAGTTTCCGAAGACGTGTCGTCTGAGTTGTGCATCCCTCTTCGTCGTGGAGTAATGGAGCTGTGAAAATCGATCCAGGTGGTGTGAAATCTTACGCGGCCTACGGTACATCGATGATGTGTAGAGCTGACCACCGCGCTATGATACGTTGTGCTCTGGTAATGTTATACAATTTGCCATGCGTAGTATGTCTTCCACCATGGTTGGAGCAGTATGCCAGCCCCTGCATCGCGCCGTCTTGTACTGGTGTGTCTCGAAGGCAAGACTACATGTGTTGCTGCTGAAGGCTGTCAAGTGGGGGGCTGTCATTGTGCCGGTAGGTGCCCAGAGATTTGACGGCACGGCTGTACACCAGACACCGGCACTACTCAAAGAAATGAATGCCGTGGCGATCCAGTCTGTGCCAGCGAAAAAGACCGGCACTGTACCGGGCACCGGCACTATTGAACCGGCACCCCCCACTGCACCTCCTGCGGAACCGCTGATACCTTCTGAAGCAAGTTACGCATGCACCGACGGTGGCACCTTCGCTGACAGGGATGCGAAGGGGGGCGAGCTTGATCCGTGGTTTCTGAGCGAGCTCCTGATGGACCTGGGTGCGATGTCGGTGTCTGTTGACGATGCGGACCTTGGCACGGTGGCCGAAGTTCCGCTATTGCACGAGCACACCAACTCGAAGGTGCGGGCGCCCACCACACGCCAAGCCCTTTTTCCTCGTCCGCAGGATGTGCCGTGCTGCTGCAGGAAGGCACCGACGACAGACCGGGCATTGTACCACCTGTCTTGAACAACAAACATCGCGCAAGGGGTGATGTCGGAATTTTTTTACGTTGGGTCGTGAAATTGTGCTCCTCTTTGTCGCACTGCTGTACACTTTTTCCAGCTTGTTTCTTCACAAGGACAACAGGTAGGCTACAGCAGTAGCATTTTTCTAAAGGTAGAGCTGTTGTTCCCCAATCGAATCGGTCCTTGGTGTGAATCAGTTTGATACACACAGGGGCACATGTCCACGATTAACCGAACCACCACGAAGGCACTGTGCATGTACATACCGCATGGTGAATTGGTTCTACTGGCGTTTTACGTCTCGCCTTCACCGACGGCTGGCGCACACTTTCCCCCAGCACGAATGTGCACATGTTCTTTTGCGCAGTGCCTGCGTCTGCGTGCAATCATTGACAACCGTGTGCTCGTCGTTAATTACCAGGCATTCGACCCGAGCGTCCCCTTACCGTCAGTCTCCGGGAGGAAAGACATGTGGGGGGGCAGCAGTCAGGTCGTGGCGCTCTTCCCGAGAGATTGGGACTTAACCGGAGTCGTGGCTAACGTCGAAGAGGTGAGCCAGGAGTGACTTGTGCCGAAGCGAACAACCCTGCGATTCGCTCATACTCTCACGGTCGCCTCTCTCAAAACAAGGAGACAGGAAAAAGGGATGTGGCAGCTGGTACATATGATAGGGCACTTTCAAGCAGTTGTTTGTGAGATCCGCCGCTCTCCGTAACCTCTTCGATCCTACTGTTCCCGAGAGAATTGAAGTTGGTTGGAGTCGTCGTGGCCATCACCGCTTCGGCGTACGTTGCGCTTGCCGTCTTGATCCATCGTCGTCTATGTGGGACGCTACGCCTGCACACGGTCGACATCGGTTGCTGAACGATTGTCTCGTATGCATACTGTAATGCAAAGGTGCTGGAGCTGGCCTCTCCGCTGTCTTTCAAAGTGGATGATGTCGTGGATAAGGATTGGGTCAAGACCGTTCAGGTGCGTGGCCTTGGTGCTGCTCTCTCCCTCTCGTCCCCTCCCTCCCTCACCTCCCCCCCCTCTCCCTCTTACTCTCTCTCTCTCTCTCTCTCTTTCTCTCTCTCTCCCTGTGTCTGTCGTTCTGCCGCTGGCTGCAGTTGTGGCTACTGTTGTTGACGCCGGCTTCACACAATACTCCTGTTGCGAAGTCAATTTTTTGGAGACCATCCTGAATCAAGCACTAGTTCCTCACTTGATTGAGCCGTGATTTGCCTCTCCGGAATACTTCTATAGGGTTTCTGTTTTGCCGGATCCCACCTAACTGTAGTAGGTTAACCGATCATGTGCATACTCGGATGGGAGTCAACATAGCCAGAGACATGAATAGCCAAGCCCTTCATCATCTTGACTTGTTGTTACCATATATGTCGCGGCATGATGTTGCCAAAACCAACCATCGATCATAGTTCACGCCCGAAAATGTGTTCGTCGAGAAAAAGTACCGGCGCGGGCGTCGACATGCTGTAGGCTGTATATAGAGGGCTTGCTTGCCTTTGGATTGTTCTTGCCATGTAGTCCTGACAACCAGCCGATGCTTGCACGTGTCGTTTTGCGTGTCGTTTCACGTGTCGTTTCATGTGCCGTTTCATGTCCCGTTTGTGTCATCGCAGGAAGGCTGGGATCCCATCGAGGTCGGACGGTTACGCATTCGATTTCCGTGGCACACCCCTCTTCCCCCCTCCGAGCTCAAGTCTGGCCAGGTGCGTTAGTGAGTCACTTGCCCGCGTTGAAGAGTTGAACTTACCTTTGTTTTTTTCCGGTCGCAGTTTGCGATTCCATGCGGAATTGACGTTCTGTTTCCGTGCTTGGCAAAGGGAAAAAACGCTTGGACCGGTACCGCGGGCGGCGTTCGTAGAAATACACAGGGACCTATGCGCCGTAGTGGCGGCTGATTCGATTGAAATCGTTTGGCTGAAACAGCAACGCGATGTGCTCCCCAGTCAGTGCGCGCTGCAACCGTCAGTCATAGCCTCTACCGCGTTTCTACTGCTGTGCGTCGTGCTGGAGTTGTGCTGCGATAGGGCAAGATATACTCGTTGCCGTTTCGCACTCGCGTCCAGCAACGACTGGCTATTTTGGCGTTGATTTATTCGCTGGGAACCACTTCTTTCCGGATTTATTTTATTGGTGAGATCCATCGTGAGTTTTTGTGCAACTCTTGTATAACCTATGAAGCATCCAACAATTGGTTAACAAAATACGTTTCATAACCCGGATGATGATGGTTCCAACGATTGCACAAAGAAAAACACCAATCCCTAAAACACTACTGGTGTTCATTCTATCAGTCCTTCATTATTGTTTGTTAGAAGAAGCGGCTCGAAAATCGTACCTGGTAGGCCTGAAGAGCGGCGAGGGGGGACCAGCCCAGCCGCAGTGGCACATGTGTGCATCTGAATGCCCGCGGGCTTAGTTTGTGTTTCGCTACTTTCGCTGTTTGTTGTTTTTTTCTCGTTCAAGTTGACGTGATTCTCTGCGCTCTCGTTTGCTGACAGGTGGAGCTAGAGCTACAGGGAGGGAGGTCCTTTGGGACAGGCGAGCATCCGACCACCTCCATGTGCGTGTACACCGGCGTCTCTTTCACAAGCGATTACTAAACCGGAGCAACAGGAAGTGTGTGCAAGAAAAATTCAGGAATGTTCCTAGAAGACAATGGCTCGCCCGGACAATGGCGTGGTTTCATTTCACGCGTGTATACCCATCCGAATCTCAGAGGGACTGGGCGTGTCGAGTGCGAGCTGGCGACATCCCGTGCGTGCCTCACTCAAACCCAAGCCGCGACAGAAAGCACAGCTAGACCGCACGTACGTCACACAGCTAGACCGGAGGCGCAGTCGAACAAGCTACCAACAATAGCATGCTTGCCGCTGCACTACTGTGTTGTACGAAGGTGTAGCGAGCGAGGAATCGGCTTGCGTCTGCTGTTGGCGTACGGCTGTTACCTCTCACCATTATCACCAGGTGCTGCACGTGGCTGGAGGACCACGTTGCCGGGCAGCGGGTGTTGGACTACGGTAGCGGCAGCGGAATACTGGGCCTGGCGGCGCTCTCCTTTGGCGCCGTGGAGGTTCGACACTAAAACCCCCGTCCCTCATATCCTTGTTTTTTGTTTTTTTGGACTTGTGTTGGATACGCTTTGGATCCTGGTCGACCACTGTGTTCCGTGCTGCAATGACTTGCACTGAGCTTAGGTTCACCCCAATCTGCCCCTACCCACCTGTTGTCTTCGTTATTCTCCTGCGTTTCACTGCGTGAGGAGCCACTGTCGGCAGTCAGGCGGGGCGCTAGCACGGCCGCTTTCTTTAGGCAGAGCAACGAGGGACGGTGTCGGGCGCTCATGTTCACAATGTTTGCTACGGCGCACGCCCCCACTGAAGGACGAATGTGCCTTGACCGTAGCCAGTAAACCATGTGACATCCACCACCAAAAGGCTTCACCTCCTCCAATTTACCCTCTCCTTCTCGTTTCCCCTGTTTCATGGACGACTGCGAAGGCCGTTGGCGTAGAGCTCGACCTGAGTGCCATCGCCAGTGCTGCGGTAAATGCTGCCAATAACGGCCTCAAAATGGACACCTACTATCCCCAAGAGGTGAGAGCCGTTGGCGTTGGAATTACGACAGGTGAGTGTGTAGTGGTTGGGCATGATTGCCGCGCTTCTTGAAGGCGGTTGAGCCTGCCGCGCTTCTTGAAAGCGGTCGAGCTCACGGAGTGGTACAAAACTCTCTGTGCTGTAGTGGCCGGTATTGGCCTTCGCGCGTCGTGACACGTACGCAAGGTGTCTCCTCGGGCGCTCAAGCAAATCTCACACGCGCACGGAGATGGGGTGCCATGAAAGTAGCGCTCTCCCGCCGTGCTGTGTGCGAACGGTTTACGGGGAAGGCGTGGCACCCATTTCGAAGCCCACGTCTTGCCGGGTGGGATATGTCGGTCGTTGAACGATCACGGCGATGCTAGTGATCGAATACATAGTGTTAACTTGCAAGTGGTCGGCCAAGCTCTGCTGGCTGAAGTTTTGCGGTGGAGAATCCCCCACCGAGCTGTGTCTTCCGTATCTTGTGGGGCCATGTGCGTGACGACTACACTTCTCCCTGAGCGTTCACGTCTCAAAGGTAGAGCGTGTTGCTTGCCACCACCCATCAGATCACCAGCGCGTCGGACACGGGTGAATTTCTACGTGCCTCGTTGACTATGCCTTCTTGATCTTCGTTCCATCCTCCTGCTCCGCATGGGTAGGTCGGTACCGGTGATGGATTGGACCTTGTCCTGACGAAGCTTGCCGTGTCCGAGAAAGTGACGGAAGACCCATCCAAAGGTAAGAGTTTAAAGACGCGTGACCCCTGTCGTGGTTGAGTCGGCGGTAGCGTGCAGACCATACCTTTGCAGGACATGTGAATCTCGTCCACGGTACGTGCAAGTCTTGCTTGCAGTTGGGCATCTGGAGGCGCTGTCGGAACGAAACGACGGCCTACGTATCTGGCCATGCACGACTTTGTCATCGTTTCGGTGACAATCCCCCGCATTTGTTCGATTTGTCGGAAATCCCTTTGTGCCTAGCTGCTGTTCTGTGTTTCTTCGTCTCAACCATATGTTTGGATTGTAGGTGCGATGGAGCCACCGTCGGTGGCGGACGGGCTCTCAATTTCTACCGAAGAGCTTGGAACGTTTGACGTCACGGTCGCCAACATCCTTGCAGGCCCCATCATCAGGCTCCAGCCCGTATTTGCGTATTTGACGCGTCCAGGTTAGCATGTGATGCTTGCGAAATACGTCGAATTTTATGGACCTTCTGGAGAGATCCCACCCACACAGCAGTACGGATGGGTTGCCCGAGCGCTAGGTTTGGTCTCACATTGATAACGGTGACGATGTGATTCCTGCGGGTTTTTGCTACTGTGGTTGGACGCTGCTGCTCACCTCATTCGCTGTACCCACTAAATACTGGGAGCAGGTGTGATTCTCACACGAGTCGATCGCCTTTCGAAGGTTGCCGTATATTGCCAACGCTTGCGAGAGCAACCGCCTACTATATTCGGCCGTGTGTAGCGTCCCTTCGTTTGAGTACCACTACTGAACTAACATTGACGTCACTCGACTCATGCTTCTATTGGGGCATCTGTTGTTTTGGCGATCTTCGGGGGCAGGTGGCAAGCTGGCGCTCTCGGGAATTCTACAAGAGCAGGCAGGTGCGGTGCTCTCAGCCTACGCGGAAAGCTTCGACTTGGAAGTGACGGAGAGCATGGGGGGGTGGGTGCTTCTCTCCGGTGTGCGACGCGGAGCCTAGTGTATGAACAGGCGTATTTTTTGCTAGACTAGAGTGTGTTAGAAGGGTAGAAGGTACAGGAAGAGGTTGACTGAGCTGTTCGCACTGAAACTGCTGGTTCGTTGGTAAGGGGGAGGGGAATCGGGGTTAGGGGATTTCAGGCGTTGTAGCCACAAAATTATCTGAATTGAGTTGGGGTCATTTGGAGTGAGCGTCCCGCTGACAAGCTGTTGCAGGAAGGTGTTTACATTGTCCATGCAGAACGCGGGGTTTGGTTTTCTGTTGCATGCGTAGGTGCTGTCAAACCCTGCGTGTCGATCGGCAACAGACACAGTGTTACTGCGGGAGAACAGTATGTTCACCTGCCGCTTTTCGGCGCCGTAAGCGGAAAAAGGTCGAGGCGCTTCCCGTGGTCACCACACCGCCCCGTCTTTAGCTAGGCATAGGTTAGAGGACAAGGCAATATACAGACGAAGTTGAGAGATTCGTGTTTACCGGTGGGCAGCGTGGACTTGAGTCCGATAGGCTTTTCGTTGACAGGGGGTCGTGAAGTCACGGTCTCGTCCAAACGGGTTGTCCAAGGGCTTCGGTAAATAAGTTACGTGAGGTGCAGCATCATTTGACTTTACGCATGCAATGCTAGCGGAAATTTGGCGATGGATGTTCGGGAATGGCTTGCATCATCGCGAAGATGTCTCGGAACCCTTGGGATGAGTGCGTCAACAAAGTGTGCGTGCAATGGAACAACTCAGCCGAGAACATACGATGTTTCATTGAAGCACGATTAGCAGCGCCTACGCACCTTCTGACGGTCACCTCTCCCGCAGAAAGTTCTAGTCTATATCCGATAATCAAACTGTGTCAATCGTCCTTCTACTACCTGCCAATACTATCCTATACACACCCTACGCTGGAGCCACGCACAAGAACGACTGAAACACCTCTCACGCTGTTGCAACGCTCGCGTCTATTTGAGCTTGGACCGTGGGGTTCGTGTGGAGCTGCCACTGTTCGACCATCCAGGACGATTCTATGTACCACTCCCCTTTTGACAGCGGCGCATCTACCTATCTTTGAATTTGATGTCACATCTTCCTCCTGTCAATGATAGCCCAAGAGCTGACACGCACAAGGCCTAGAATTTACATACGAAGGCTTTTCACGAGAAGCGGATCAGGGCTAAAGGACCTGTGCCGTGAGCAGTCGACGAAAAAAATGCCCACGGCGCGGCCTACAGACGGTGCTAGACGTTCAATCACACACCGGGCATTTTGCATATGTACATGATTGCTATTCTCTCGGGTCAACAGTGGAGTGACTCGTTGGCAACCTCCCAAAACCTACGCTACGGTAGGTGTAAGAAACCAATCACAGTGACCAAAAACTAAACCCTGACGACCAGACCCACATCAGCCACACTGGTTCCAGCTCGAACCATCCTGATTGACTACTCGGCAAACCACTTGATCACGTTGTACTACTCGAATTTTGCACCCTTTTCATTCCACGTACATGCTGCGATTTGTAGAGCATCGATTTTTCATGCACGACGGACAGTATACCATCTGTCCGCTTCACATGCAGCATCACTCTCCCCCCATCTCGTGGTTGGAGTCACCCGGGGTATCGGGGGACGGTTGAGGGGGTTCCGGCGCGTTCGAAGGTCTGACGTCGATGCCCTCCTCGGAAGGGTTGTTGTTCAGCGCTACTTGGATGAGGGTGCAGACATGGAGTAGCTTGAAGAAGATGACGAATGGGCATGTATCACCCAAGAAACCACGCATATGGTAGCATAAGCAATGGACGCGAGGTAGGCGAGGGTGGCTATTGGCTGGTGGGTGGCGAGTGGTGTTCGACATTCAGTGTTGGATCCGCCGAGAGCATTGTCACGCGGGAATGGAAGTACTCTCGTACGCTGTGAAAACCCTGTTGACAGCAAAACGTCTGAAAACGGCTGTGTGTTAGACACTGTTTATTCGCGCTGTTCAAGGCACTGGAGTATCATATTTGTACTGGTGTAGAAGACGATCAGGTTTCGCCCTTCCCCGCTGCAGGCTGGATTGGTCCACAAGCAGCACCAGGCCTGACCGTCCATCGGCGCGGTTCTTGATAGATTATACCTTGCTGATATACTTCCTTACACTGGTCCATGAGAGAGGTGACCAGACTATCAGTAACGTTCCACCGGAACGTTTTGTCAATACCAGAACGAAACCAAGGTTCAAAGCTTTCGGGTTGACAATGATCGGTGGTCTTAAGCTCGATCCTCGGTGCTTGCTCTTATTGATGCCACAAAACTGCTCACATACTGTATGTGCCAAGCAGCCTTGGTGTGAACAGCTTCGATCGATGTTAGAGTCGAGAAGTGGACGTGCGTGCCTACCTCGATGACGCTTTCAGATACAAGCTGGGCCTTGGTTGGCTTGCTGTCTCGCTGCCTGTCACCGGTACCTTCGTGCCTAGTGCCATGGCCACCAGCGCCCCAGGTGTAGCCCCGTCTGGTTGTGGTCATGGTTATTGGCAAGAGCAAAGTGCCCAAGAGGTACGGGCATGAAGAAGTACAGCACTGTTCATAGTGTCAAGTTGTCCCGATGGAAGACAAAATAAGGGGCGAGGTTGATGCTCACAATCGGATTGATCATGGGAGTGTTACGGTATTTGGACCCTTGGACTAAGATTCAACATAGACGGGTATATCTATTAGAAATATTCGCGGTATTCCGATTTGGCAAGTAGCGGAACAATATAAAGTTGATGGCAGCGGCGTTCCCTCTTGCTTAGTGTTGCCTAGGAGTGAGGGATAGCGAGCGACGGAGAGAGCAAGGAAGGACAATGAAGGAATCAGACTGAAACGAAGCGGCTAACCTGCTCACAGTGGTCGGATCCGCTCCGAACTCCACACGATCATCACAGGAAATGTTGTTCACAACACGTCAACGCGACGGGGTAAGACTCTTCTTCGCGTATGACACACGCCGAAAACGAGCCCTCCCTCTCCTCCCTTCCTCGCTCTCCCCCTTTCTCCCTCGTTTTCTTACCCTCCTTCTCACCTACTCACAACCTACCCAAGCCCCCAAGGTTTGGTGTTTCGGAACAACAAGCATTTTCTCTCGCGTACGTACGTGTGATCGGAGTCGTCACTACCCTCGGTTTCAAGCCTTCGACGGGCACGCTTGGGCGCCAGGTTGCCCGACGAGTCCCTTACAGACAAAAGAAGGCGAGAAAGGAAAAGGGTGGAGGAAGAATTCTGTCGCCGGTGATCATGACAAACCCTACACCAACAACGCCGTTCGTAGTTGGTCGTGGATGTGAACGTGACAAGTGCATGCAGCAAAACCGCAAGAATCTGGACGTTCGGGACTATCTCACTAGAGTGCCCCGTGCGGAGAACATAAAGGCCGACTGAAACACCAGTTTTGTGTGTGTGTCATTTCATTTATACTGGAAGCCCACCTTTACTTCCTGCATGGACTATCAACGCGTTTCGGACGCACACGCACAGAAAGGTCACAAGGGGGGGGGGCGAACAACGGAGTTCTTTTTCTTGTTGTGTGTTTTGCGACACCGTCTGCGATGCTTACCCAAATGTTTGTCGCAAGAACGGTGAGACTAATAACTGCCCTCGCTCACCGAAAACCCTTTTCAATCGCCCCGGTGTACGATAATATATTTAGGTGTGCACCTTTCTGGGGTGACTTCACTGCCATGTGCATGCCCATGAAGGCGAGCGTGTCCAAGTTGCCCATTCATCCCCGCGGAGCTGTCCATGCTACCAACCAGAGCGTCGGAACTCTACCGAAGGCCCTGTAGATTGGAGTGCAAGCGTCTACATGTCAGTGAGAGCTGCCCGTCAGAAAGATTGATACGTGGACTACGGAATGAATGCTTGAGCAACGCCTAGACAACAGCACGGCAGTAGGAGCACCTACCCTGCGGTGCCGCACACCCGCGACATGTTTAAAGGGTACAGCAGTAGTCCGCGCTCTTCTGTGCACGACGGTGTGATCCCCACACGACGACACGATGGTACACACTATTTGGACGCACTCACACACCAACATGTTTCGGAAAAAGCTATTCCAAACAACTCTCCAAATGGGCGACGATGTTGATCGATACTCGTACAAACGACACGATGAACAGCCCAGAGGCTCCACAGCATGCATCAATACTGTCACGTATTGTTGACATTAGAACAATCACCTGCGGTTTGGTTCTAACTACTTGTTTCGTCGGTCTTCGCTCTCCTGTAGCAAGTTCTCCGCCGATGAGAGAACAGCTCCAGCTCGTTGGCGCGTCGGAAACAAACAACCCTGCTGGATCGTACGCATAGATTACAGGAGTCGTCTGCTACGTATAATGCGAAAATTCAAAATCTGAGATGTACGAGCACAGCAATCCTTCATAGGAGCCGTATACCGAGACCAGTCAGTTGAACATGTGGGGTCGTTGCAAATGTACGCACGTTCTTCCTTGCGCTCGCTCACGTTCTTCTTTGGCCACCGCTGCTGACGATCTGGCGGTTATCCCTCGGGCCTCTGTCCTCTGTCTGCTGTGCGCTGGTTCTCTCTCTTGCTGGTGTCGAGGGGAACCGGTTCTACTTCGTCTGTACCCCCCCAACAATGAGCTGTCTTCCCGCGTCGCCCCCCTACCGTGTGTGCCGGCGCTCCACACGCACGTATTTGTTACTGCTGTCATATACCATTGCTCCACACCACACAACAACAGTCAATACACGGTACCACACAACAGGCACCACGCCATGGATGAAGTAGTACGGCTCAAATCTAGATTTGTGTCGTCCGGACCTGGCGAGGATTCATCTGCTGCACCCACGGTGGGTACTTGAATAGTCGAGACTGCTGTTCCATGTCATCAAAGATACAGACACGGGTTGTGGCCGGGGGTAGGCAATCAGAGAAAAGATTCAACGCCCCATCATAGTACTGCTTTGGATGCAAGCCTCCGTTCAGATATGACTGATGCACATCACCTTGGTTGGTGGGTGGGCTTTGTCGTGAGTCTCCTCTGTTTCATGTGGTAACCCTAGACAGCAGGGGGAACTCTTTCCTCAACGGTCGTGCGGAGGAACCTTCCGCGAAAGGAGCAAAAAAAAAAAACGGTGGGTGTGAGGCCGTGTGTTGACGAAGTGCCAAAAATCTAAATCTAAATGTAGACAATCTCAAAATCAAAATGCGTTATCGCGGAAAACTGAAAAAAGAGGGTCGTGTATGTAAACGAGGATAGGAGACAGATGAGGCAAAAAATCGAAAGACCTGGCGCCAAGGAGCCAGCAGCGAAGCGGTGATTTTTCTCGGGTGGGTTTTGCGCTCTTCTGTTCACGTATTAGCCGATATCTCGCCAAATACTTGACAGAGTTATCTCAAGATTGGTATCCGGAAGGAGTTGGTAACATGGGCTGTTGGGCAATGCCACAGTTTGGCGCCGTGAGTTGCCAAATGCGCCGGAAAAAAAGGTTGTGCTGAAGCAAAAATGCCAACGGTTGCGAGCGGTCACTTCGAGTTCGGTATTTTGGGCCGCCACGGGTTTGGTTATCCATCGATAACTTTCCGAAGGAGGAAGCAGCAGCAACAGCAACGCCACGTGGCGGGAGGTACCTCTCCACTCCATCTTTCAAGCCCAAGGTTTGCTACCGTGGGGTATCGTGCGTATAGGGAAAAAAGTTTTGGTTGACCCTACAAATTCCACGTCAGGGAGCGGTTAGTTCAAGTTCGCGCCGAAAGTTTGCTCACACTTTAGTTTTTGAGCGAGAACTATTCGAAGGAGGAAGTAACAGCATTAGCAATGCCGTGCGACGGGAGGTAGCTCTACCCACCATCTTTCTCGTGCAAGGTAAGATGCCTTGGGGTATCGTGAGTGCGGAGAAAAAAGGTTGCAGCTACCCTCTCCCCCACGGAACAGCCCGAAAAAGCCGCGCAGCCCTGTTCTGATCGTCAGTCCGTTCACCGCTTGTCACGATCGGCATTTTCTCCTCCAGCACCCAACGAGCCGGCCCGGTTTTCGGCTTGCTGGCTAGCAGAGTCTTCTGGCTACAAATAACGTCCATGGTGTCGGTGGTAGGGTGCCGATAGCCCTTCTATGAGCAGTGTACAGCAGGTCGTGTCGTACACTTGCTTTGCAGCGGCCTCGCGGCAGGTGCTCCAAGCCTTCGAAGTCTTGAACTTCTTGCCTCTTTGATTTTGATTTTGTAAGAAAATCCCTCGGAGACCTTTCTCAGACAGAGGAACTTCCATAAGATCAAAGGGCGTCGTCAGGAGGTAGCAGATATTCGACCAATCAGATCTCGATATTGTTTTTTGGCACTTCGTAAATATTTTTGCCTGACATCACCCTCTCCACCTCAAAGCAACCTTACCTCGTAGTGCAACGACTCCAACTGCATTTCCTATATAGTGCCCAGTGGCGCAACCCTCATTTTTATCGCTGCTGACACATCTCTCTGTACAGGGGCCCGATGCTTCCGCTGCGAGACTTGTGGAGGGAATCCTCAGGCGCAAATCATTTTACTTTCAGCAGAGAACCGGCAAACTGGACATGCGCGCAATCGGCCGGGTGGACATAGAAAGCGTGATCAAAGACGTGGACATTGACACACTGCAGGTCAGGTGGTGTAAAAGTTTACCCTCGCTAAGATATGTCGAGGTTGGCAGCACCGAACGAACCAGACCGATCAACATGCCTCGACGGCTCGGACAAGCACATTGCCGTGCACACACAACCTCGCATCCTGTGCGAAACTCCAATTAATGTTGAGAATCAAAGGCCCATGCCTTGTGACCGGTTCAGCAGTTCTGAGGGAAGGTTGATTGAACGACAGTACACAATGTACCTGGTGGTTTCGCCGAGCGAGCTTCTCCGAATGTCGGCAACGATGTTGCTGTAATTTAAGTGTAGACAGACTGGTCCTGGTAAGCGCCATGAACAAGGTCTTCCCAGCAGTAGTGGTATGTAAGCGCTATATATTGTGGACTGCATTCAGAGGAAGTGACCGAGGGTGAGGTGATTTCTCATGTATGTGGGATTTAGCACCATGTACCGCAGTGGTACGTCAAGAGCCTACGATGTGGACAGCTTGCCGCCAATGTTGCCTTGCGGCATGACAGCTCGATTGTATGCCAGAACTGGGAAGCTCTGTCTCTGATGATGATCGTCTTGACTTTGTTGACCAGGATAGTTTGTTTCTCTGGTACCGATTCATCTACAGTGCATCGGATGATGACGAAGACAGGCTGTCCGAAGGCGGCAATCATCATCCGCCATTGTCATGCCGCAAGGTAACATGGTCCCGCCCATATTGAGTCCCCAGAACTGAAAATGAGCCAAAACGTAATCAGAACGAAATACAATAATACAAAGCACACCCCCAACAACAAATTCTTATTCTGTATATTGTGCCACAAAATATACATCCGTCTCTACACGAAAATTACCATTGTCGTGGCGTTACAGTGAACGCCTAACGCCACCGCAAGATGATGGTTATTCTCGTGTAGAGGGAGGTGTGCATGTTTGCGGCGAAATATACAGAACACGATTTGTTGTTGGGTGTGTGTTTTGTTTCGTTTTTTTTTCTTTTTGTAATTTGAGGACGCAACATGGGCGGAACCGTTTTGACTTGCGGCAAGCTGTGTAGATCACGGGCTACAATGTACATGGTGTTCTTGTCATCCAACACGTGACAAGTCAAGTAATTCAAATTCCATGGTAGTTTTGTTTTTGCACACGCACCAACGTGCTGGCAATCTCAACCGCTGCCCAGCAGCTACAACGTGCACAGGCGTTCATCTTGTTTGATACCGTACGCTCCATGTGCGATAAGGCAGCAGCGGTGCCAAACAGGCGTGCGTCTCACGCGAGAGAGGATTAAGAAATCGCGTGTGTAGGTTTGTTTCGTTTTTTCCTCGGGTGTGTTTTCATTTTTAGTTTCGGGCACGCGATATTTCTTTTCAGTTTTTGGTGTTCTGCTTTTTTCAGTTTTGGGCATTCATTATTTATCTCCAGTTTTGGTTGTTTTTTCATTCTTAGTTTCGGGCATGCAATATGTACAATGGAGTGATTGGAGTACACGCGGCATATACATCGGTCCAAGGGTAGTGCTCTGAAATACAGTGGACCGTCGAATTTGCGGTATTTCAGCTAGTATGTGTAGTAAAGGAACAAACTGTGTTGGCAACGTGTGCCATGATACGTGGTTAGGTTTAGCATGTGCTACATATCAACACGTACAAGCTGGGCCAACCATGTAACTAACCTTCGCTCTTCGAGCCATAGGTATCGAACGAACCAGAATTGGAACGAGCTCGGTTATCTGCGTGATCAGCCGATCACGGCGGATTTGCACAGCTCTCTCGAAAATCCTACAAGGATTTTCGGTTGGTACACTGGTTATTCGCGAGGCGCTTTGCATCATTTTGAAAGCGCACCGATTGAATCCCAACCATAGGTCTATTCTGGGATGCTGTTGCACGTCCCCTCCACCACCGGACACCTTCAAGAGCGACACAGCTTGAACAAGCTGAATGACCACGATTCTAGCGATGAAACCACTTCATCCAGATGCTGGGTACATGCTTGGGGTAGTCCCGACCGTAAATTTGCCCAGGGATCTCGTTGCGCGTCTCTTCCACCCCGTGGTCGAGGAGCCTGCAACTAGATACCGGAGCAGATCAAGGGTTGGGGCCCTTCAAGCATCCACCCAGTGGGGGTGAGTATTTCCATGGCTGGAAGCCCGGTGGTCCATATTCCCCACGACCTTTTGTCGCTCTTGAAGGCGTCCCCTCTGGTGTCGTTGCCCTCTTGCTCTCGTGCTGCTGCGTGCGCTGCTCCGGCTCATTTGCTTGAGCCGTACATGGGTTACTCCCCCAACTTCTCCGCCTTCCCAGACCTCTACGACAGAACGAGGTCCCGTACCACCCGCAGGCATCAACGAAAACTCCAGTGCGACAATAATGCCAACAACATGACCTCTTGGGTCTGATGCCTATTTACATGCCTTCCGCGCGACCTTTGAATTGCAAACCTCGACACAAGGCACGAGCCTGGGTTTCAACGGAAGACGTTAACGCACGTTTCGAGGATTCGTGTACGCATGTGAGCGCGCCCTTGTCTCTGAAGGTCGGCGAAACAAGTCTACTTGTTCATAGCCATCGAGCGTACGAGGAGTGATGATTCGGTATACACTTCGCCATTGGCAATGTCGGCAAAGAGTACAGCTGCAGGTTATCCTTTGACCTCCGCTACCCGTTGACCTGATGCGGAACAACAG